TTTAATACTATTCAGAAAAAAAAGTTATAAAAAATACTGGTAAAATAAATACATACATTTTTTGAATGTTTTTATTTATTGATTTTAGAGGGGAGAGCAAGAGAGACAGTGGGGGGGGAGAGAAAGAGAGAAGAAAGAGAAGGAAAGAGAGAAGGAGAAACACCAATTTGTTGCTCCACTTATTTATGCATTCATTGGTTGATTTTGTATATGCTCTGTGGATGTGCCCTGACCAGGGACCAAACCCACAACCTTGACATATTGGGACGATGCTCTAACCAACTGAGCTACCCAGCCAGGACAATAGGTAAATTTTTTGTAACATTTTAATTATTCACTTTGTTAAGAAGGAATATTGTCTAGTGTCCTGTAACTTTTTTTAAATTTTTATTTATTTATTTTTAGAGAGGAGGGAAGAAAGGATAGCAAAAGGGTGAGAAACATCAGTCAGGTGCCTCTCACACCTGCCCCAACAGGGGACCAGCCCACAACCCAGGCTTGTGATCTGACAGGGAATCAAGCGGGTTTGCTTTGCAGGAAAATGTCCAAACAACTAAGCCATACCAGTCAGGAATAGTGTTCTATATCTTGATCCACATCCACTGTCTTATCTACTATGGGTAAATTTAACAGACAAAAATAAATACATTACTTTTCCAATAAGACTTCTTTCCCTCACCTCCAAAGACCTCAATTTAGCCCAAAAATGGACACTTTTAAGTTTCCAAGTACACAAATTACATTTTTTTTTGTATTAAAACAAGTGATAGCCCTGGTTGGTATTGCTCAGTGGATTGAGCATCAGGCTTCGAACCAAAAGGTCACAGGTTCAATTCCCAGACAGGGCACATGCCTGGGTTGCAGAGCAGGTCCCCAGTTGGGGTGTGTGAGAGGCAGCTGAACAATGTATCTCTCATATATCTCCCTCTTCTTCTCTCTCCTTCCCCCTCTCTAAAAAAAAAAGTAAATAAATAAAATCTTAGGAAAACAAACAAACAAATAAGTGATAGCCCTGGCCAGTTAGCTCAGTTGTGTAGGGCATCATCCCATTATACCAAAGTTGAGAGTTCAGTCACATACAAGAAACAACCAATGAATGCATGGATGGATGGAACAACAAAACGATGTTCCCTCTAAGAATCAATAAATTAAAAAAATAAATGAATATATAAAAACAAGTGATACTTAATGTTTATAATCTTAATGTAGGAAAAAAATACAGAAAATCCAGAGTTTGCAAAATGTTACAACTTTTTAAAACAAACATACAAATTTAAACACCCTTCCTCACCTCAAAATACTATTTTATGGTTTCTAAATTTCACCTAATTTTAAATCTCAGTTTGCAAGATTTTTAAAGTACTGCATATTACCTCAACACATGTTCTCAACCTGTTAATGCTTTAAATTCATTTGATGGCCCTCATGCTACTTATCTGTCAAGTTTCATACTTAGAAAATAAAACTTAAATATTAAAAATTCAGTTCATACACACACACACACACACACACACACACAGAGCTTAAAGAGGTCACTAGTAAAGGAGGAGAAAACTCAGACACTAAGAGGATTTCTACATCAGGCAGGAAAATCCTAACTTCAAAAGGTGAAAAATGTTTTAGGGTCAAAAACTGATTGCTTAGAAATTGGAGTAATACTGAGAGAAATGAATGTAAAGTACCTGGCATAATGAATAGTACCCTTCCCTCCAACACTGCTGGCTGGCATCACAGCCTGTGATATTTTTCGCCAGCTCATCAGTAAAAGTATTCTGACAACCTGATCTTAAATTCTGCTCCATTATGCCAAAAGTCTTTTTTATTTTTTTTTAAGATTTTATTTATTTATTTTTAGAGAGAGAGGAAGGGGAAGAGAAAAACATTGATGCATGAGAGAATCATCAACTGGTTGCCTCTGGCATCACCAACTGGTGATGTGGCCTGCAACCCAGGCATGTTCCCTGACCAGGAATCAAACCAGTGACCTTTCAGTTAGCAGGCTGTCGCTTAACCCACTGAGCCACACCAGCCAGGGCTAAATGGCTTTTTTCAAAGACGCAAAGGAAAGAGGCCCACCAAAAAGGAATAGTTCAGTGGTACTGAAGAGTGTGCTGGCAGTAAAATCACTTTATATTGACTCATTTTGCCTCAATAGAGATGTTTCCCACAATTACTACTTGGAGTAAGAATACACATATAATAAACATAAAACTGGAAAAAAAAACAGAACATTATTGCTCTTGTGGGAAAATAAGGGGGGGCTCTTGCAATTATAGGAGAAAAGTCAACAGTATTTGTATTCATCTCCTTATTATCAAGTTTGTTACTCTAAAATTCAAGGAAAATCATTCTTTGAATATGTTACTTAGAATGTGTTATTTTGTTGCAATAGTTTGGTTTGGTTTAGTTTTTAAGGCTAAAAATACTCCTAGGAAGGCAGAAATAGACAGAGAGCATGGGTTCTAATTTCAAAACCAGGTTCTACCTGATAACTACATTTCATTTTCCCATCTCTCAAGAAAGGATATTATTTCCCTTATGGGATTGAGGATTAAGTACAGAAAATACACAGCCAGTACCTAGGACATAAGTGCTCAGTAAATTTATCTGCCATCATCAGTGACTCTCAGTCTCTTTTGTACTCCCACCTGACAGAGAAACACTCTTAACTCCAATCAGTAACAGTGACTGGCTGATGAGGGCAGTGATTCTCCACCTAGAGACAGGCCTTCAACTACACTGTAACACTCACCACTGCTGCTTGTCCAAGCAGCCTCTACCTGTTGCCCTGTACTTCCCAGCAGGACAGCTGAACTCTAAGTTCCACTACTTTACCTGGTGCAAATCTCAAGAATTTGTGTGGTCTTCCCTCATTCAATCAATACAAAAATTTCTGACACCTCCTGGGAAGAGGATGTGAAAAACACAAGAGTCTCTGCCCTAGAACAGTTCAGTTTTAATCTTAAGGAGGTGAGGTCAATACCAAAACCAATAAATTATAGCCCTGGCTGGTGTGGCTCAGTGGATTAAGCACCAGCTTGTGAACTGAAAGGTCACCAGTTCAATTCCCAGTCAGGGCACAGGCCTGGGTTGCAGGCCAGGTCCCTGGTCCAGGGTGTGCAAGAGGCAAGAGATGTTTCTCTTTCACATGGATGTTTCTCTCCTTCTCTCCTTTCCTTCCCTCTCTCCAAAAATAAATATATAAAATCTTTAAAAAAAACCAATAAATTTTAATACACTATAATGACTGCCAGGGAGAGAACTGGTGAGTGACCAACATCTGCAACATAGCAGTTACCCTCAGTTCCCTAAAATGCTGTTCATTATATCATGTGTCCAGCCCTACAGAATCGCATTGTGATGGCTTTAGTTTAGCACCTCCTACCTTAGGGGGGCGGGGGCACCAGGGAGATCCTGACTGTCTGTCTCTGTCTGTCTATGTGTACAGCTGCGTAAATACCAAACTCAACATGTATACTACTAAATTTAATTACTTCGTCCCCAAACTGTATCTCCCACTGTATTCGTCTTCCTGTATTACTTCATTTTCCCAAGGACCTTAAGAGTGCCATCCACACCTTCTTTTCCATTGCTCACACCAAATCTATTAAGAGTAGTTATTCAATTAATCTCAGCCTTTACCTACTCCAATCCCTTATTGCCTGCCAATTCAGTCTTCCCAAAACACCACTAAAAGCCACCCCACACATAAACACTCAAAAATCCTACTGCCTAATGAAATAAATCTAAGCCTGGCATTTAGGCCCTATATCTTCATGACAGTGCCCTTTTAACCCACTTTTATTTTAAGGCGAAAGGATTAAGAACTCACACATTCAATAAATTTCTTCTCAGACTCTATTATATGCCAAATTCTAGGAACTGGGATACTGAGATGAATAAAATGTCATCCCCTCCTCCAAGACTCCAAGCAAATCAGAAACAAATGCCTTACTAGGTACATAATAAACATAAAAGGTGCCCTAAGTTTCACAAGAATCCCCCTATATCTCATACTTGTTAGTATCCCTCACCTACACAAAGTAGATCCTTATGAAGCAGCACTGATATTGATGACTGTTCCAGTACACTAAAGACCTAGGATCAATGTGCTCAATAAATTTCTGTTGAAGGGACAAGGGAAGCACAAATGAGAACTCAGATTTGCAAGTATACTTCTGCCTAATTTGTTTCCGAAGCAGAACAGAAGCAGGAGAGGCCTAGTGACAGATGTCAGTTCTTTTTGCAAGTCAGTATTCAGATAGTGGCAATAAAAAATGAACCTTTGCAAATTCAACCTATGCCCAATTTCAAATAGCCTGTTTAAAACATTCCAATCCTTTCATCAGTATCAGGATGTCAGGAAACACCAGGCTAAACTCTTCTCAGTGAAATATGCTGTATTCCCAGCTCCGGTTCTAGGTTAGTAAAAGTTAGTATGTTAAAAGCAACCAAGTAAAACAAGTTTTTAGAATAGGATAAGATGGTTAAAACCTAAAAGCCACATCCACTTCTCTCTGACACAAAACATTAGATATATATCAGTTCCATTTCAAATAAATTTCACTCGAGCAGCTGATTTGTAATCAACTTCCTACTACTTTCTCAACTAGTAACATCTTAAAAACAAAAGTCACCCACACCCAACAGGAAAGGCTCTAAAATAACGCATCTGGCCTTTAAACAGCCCAGAGTTCTTAAAAGAATATGTTAAGAAAAATGTATTCTTTGTTTAAAGAAGTATACCCAGAAATGTAATGTGCACATTAAAACAATCTTAAGCCTTTTTTAAATGAATTGGTCATTTATTATTTAACCCCACAATGATATATGACCCAGTGACAACATTAAAACAACCATCCTTTAAAACAACTGACTGTTAAATTTAGAATAATTGAAATTAGCAATTTAGGCTTTTGAAGACATTCATTAAAAGCAGATATCCTAAATGGACAGCAATTAAAAGAGTTTCAAAGCTGAAATAGTGAACTTTTTTTTACCTGATGTTCTGCATGAATGTTATCCCCAGTTGGCCATCGATGTTTGCTATTATTATAGCCGCCTCCACCACTTCCTCCTCCCCCAAGCTGCTCACCATGCTGCCTCTGAAAGAAGTAGTCCACCATAGCGTCGTCCTGGGAACGGCCTGCAACTCCTATGGATCCTGGGACAGGGCTGGAGTGTGTCCCAGCTGCAAGAGCCTGATTTGCAGCTGGTTGTGGCTGCGCTTGCGACCCTGTTCCAGATGTCAAAACAACAGGCATGTTGGGATTAGCTGGTTCTTGAGGGTGATGTTTCAGGTGGGGGCTGAAAGAGTCCTGCCAAAGCACTGCTTTTCTCTTCAAGACACATGCAACGCTCATTCCACCAACACCTAAGGGCAAACAAGTTACAAACGGTTAAAATTTGCATTTTTATAAAACATTACTTGACATATACCAAGATAAAAGTAAGCTCTACATCTTTTGCAATATGTTACCTACAACTAGTTTATACCAAACAGCTAAATATTTTAAAATACTTGTACATAACACAATTTACTAAACTGAAACCTCCATTTCTAAGTTGTTGAATGTGTGTATGGAAACAAATGTAGTTGGTGGCAGGTACCAGACAATGTATGAAGGTCAGGCCTCAATACAGCAACTTCAAGGAAACATGTTGTTATCAAAGATAATAACATAGGTTTAGACTTCAATCAATGGCTCTACCCAACTTATTTATACCTTAAGCCAAATGTGCCAAGTACTTTTTAAATGAACAAGAGCTTTATAAAATATCACTTTACAGCTCAAGCAGACATAAGGCAATAATTCAAACAAAAATCCAAACCCCATACATAATTAGCAATGACTCAGGACTGTGTAAAACTTGACAGGACCTTTTAAAATATTCAACATATTCATAGGATGCTCCTTAAAGAAAAAATAAGGCCCCATGACCAAGAAGAGCAACTGAATGTTCTTAGCCTGAAACTTGTCCTCAGCTGCTATTGACTGGGGGGGAGGGGAGGAATTCAAAATTTTTACCAATAACTTAAAATTATAATTGCAATCACATCATTATTCCACTAGTACTTTGACTCCTGTTAAGAGGATGAGACCAAGCCAGAAACAAACACTTTGCTAGAGAGTTTCACTGTTTAAAAAAAAAAAAAGCCTCAACAAAATAATTGTGCAGTAAGTATTACAGATATTATCTAATCATCCCTTTATTACAGATGAAAACACAAAGGTACAGAAAAGTTATGTGATGTGCCCAAGGCCATTCAGCTAGTGAGCTGCAGAGAAGGGATTCAAACCTAAATGTCTGTACCCAAACCTACATCTATCAACCCCTTGCTACAGCCCAGTAAATCAATACGAAACATCTCACCTACATCTGCTACTCTTTCTTATCTGGTTCAACAAAGGATCTATAAAATGTTATTATGAAACATTACTATTTAAGTTTCTTAAAATCAAAAAATACATGTATACCTAAGATGTAACACTTGTCACCATGTAGGTGCTAAAAAATTGCTACAAAGTAATTAGTGACCAATTAGAACACATCTGTCCAGACACCAGTCTACTTTCAAGGCTTCTCAGTGCTACAAATCCCTTATCTCTCCCTAGCCCAACTGTGACATTTCAAAAACAGACTCACAAGATTTATAAGAGACCTATTATTTCTTTATAGAATAACTAAACCTCCTGATAAAGATGTATTTGCTTCTCACAACTAATTCATGTTTTGAAGCCAGAAGTAAAACGACACAATGGCATTTGTAATTTGTTCAAAGCCTAATTCGGAAATGCCTGGTCTCAGTTAACAATTCCAATCCATCAGAAGCTTACCACGGTCCTGAGTTCTTCTAGCTTCCTAGACTTCAGTTTCTGCTTTCATGAATTGAACTGTATTCATGGTTAAGTGCCAAAATCAGAAAGTCACTGCTGTTTACCATAGGTCTTTGCAAAGTGCTAACCATCCCAATGCTTTCAGTTTGATTTTCAAAAGAACTCACTGCCCTCATATTACCAACAGTAGCCAATTCCATTTTCTTATACAAGGGAGTATCAATCTAACAGTCTTTGTCTAGAGCAAGCCAAGAATCCCAAATCCCAAGTTTTACCATTAAACTGGCAGCCTCTTTGAGCCTGGTTCCTCCTGTAGAAAATTTGGGGGTGGGGTGGGAGGAGTGGAGAATCCTTCCTCTGTAGGTCACAAGTTTGTTTTTTAATCAAAATAAAAGAGATGTAAAAGTTTTTGGTAAACTAAAATCACTATGCTGAGACACAGGAATTCAGTTACCATCAGTGAAAGCAATGGCACTCCTTCCAGTCCCTGAGAGGATTCCTAAAACAGCAAATGCAATCTTTTCTAAAATAAAAGATTAGCCATCATACTTATTTAACCAACATTTCCATATGAAAAGGGCGTTTACCACTGAAACACACTGAACACAACTTCACTTCAACAGGGGATGAGGGGAGAGATTCCTGTAAAAATGTTCAAACAAAACAACTGGCTTCTGTAGAGCTATCTGTGTGCCCTGAGACTTCCTGCTTTCCCTAATGAGGCAAGGCAGTTTCCCCAACAAGAGAAAACCTGGCAGAAAGGACAGTTTGAAAGTAGCAAATACCTAAGCAATTAACCTGTGTCGTGGGTAGTTTTGTAATTAGTATCTTGGCAACTATAACACAAAACTTTTTCAATCAGCCACTTAAATATTAGAAAACATTGAAACTGCTGATGCCTTTTAGAACACTCTCAAAGCCCACTAAAAGTTATGTATAGCATTTGAAATGACTTTTTGTTTTCCAAATGGAACATTGTAAAAATAAGTATTTTACAGCAATTTAGAAATAAGGGCTGATTCTAGTTACTCTTCCACAGTTTCAAACTGTTTACATCAAAGGTTTTAATAACACTACTAAATTTTATTTCAAACAAAGGAACACAATTTAATCTATTGCCATGGCTCACCTTTTGTCCTAGAAAAGTGCTTAGTATTTTAAAATGTGTTTATTCTTACGAAACTGAGAGAGAAAAAAAAAACCCTATGGTCATAAATTTATTTTCAAACAGTTCATCTCAAACCCAAATTAAACTTCAAACCCAACTTCAGAAAACTGTAGCCTTGGACAAAATGAATTCAATTGCGACTACAGCACAATACTAACTCAAAGTTCAGAACCCACTATTTCCCAAAGATCCAGATAAACAATCAAAAGCCCCCAAGAGTGTTTTATAAAGTTAAAATTAGCAATGGATCAAATGTTTGATATTTTGCTTACTAAAACTGCAAGAGCCACGTATCTTGGAAGCTTGTGTTGGTTGAGTTTTTGTGTTTTCAAAAATAAACAAAGAGCTAAAGGTACAAACCTATTGATACAAAAGTACGTAACTTTTAAAAAGAACCCTCCAAAAGTCTCATAAACTACCATTCCTAATCCCAGGAAGAGTATGAAGGAACGAATTGCTATCGACAACTAAAAACAGTCCCTTCTTAATTGAACAATGAAAAGTAACAATCCTTCACGTTATGATGAGGATAAACCTTCTCTGAATATGGGTGTGTGCGTGTTTTTGGGTTTTTGTTTGTTTGTTTGTTGTTTTTTGAGGGGGGGGCTATAGAGGGGAGAAAAGTTACAGGAACGGATTCCCCGCTCGACGTTGGGAGTGGTACTGACAAGTATAATAAATGATCTATGTTTACCAAGAACGTTTGTGAAGACTAAAACTATCTGGTACAATGTATCTGTTTTCCTACTACCGAGGGGTGGACCCCTCTTTGAGTTGAGACAGACACGCACCGACACAGGGAGGCTCAAAGAGGAAGAACCCACCAAAAACACCAGCTCTCGCGAAAACAAAAGGCCACAAGCACCCAGGAGCCTAAAAACCGATCTGAAACTTCCTGATCGCCACTTCTCCACATTTACGGCTCGCAAAGTTCCCCCGCGGTGTGTCTCGCCCATAGACAAGGGCCATGGCTGCTTCTAAAGCGATTTATTGTTCCTTCTGCTTCAGCGCTGCCACGGAAGCTCAAGAAGTCGAAGAAATCCAGGGTGGCACGAAATTACACTTCATGGCCACAGAGAAGACTCGAGGCTTCATAAACCCATCAAAAAAGCAACCCCAATGGCAACATCAATTTTCGGGGGTTCCAAAGAGGCCGAGCACAAATGTAGACGGACGCCTCTGCCCTAGGCCTGGACCTAAACCTCCGGCATTTTCCTCGTTTCGACCCCGCTCCCCACCCCCTCCCTCCTTTGATAACAATAGGGGCCTTGCTGCTGACTCCAAAACATGTACGAGTAATATCGAGTGAGAAGCCTCAGCCAGGGCCCCGGCGGCTTTTCTAAAACCCTTCTCACTCCCCAACCGCCCTCAAACACCAATACAATGGGACATTCTGCTCGCTGGGGGTCCGGAGCAGCATTTGGGGCCGGCGGGGTGCGGATACTCACGGGCGGAGCGGTAGGATGCGGATGGATTTCAGCCCCCCGATCTTCTCTCTCCAGCGCTCTCGCTCCCCCTTTCCTTTCACTCCGACAACATGGCGGCCCACTGGGGACTGGGCTGGCGCGGAGCATCATGGGATAGGCTCTGGCCCCGGCTCTGGCGGTGGCGGCGGCATGTGCGGAGCAGGCAGGCGGCTCTGGAACAGGTTGCCTGGTTGCCATGCCAACCCGAGGCCTATGTGAACTTGGGGAACTCGCAGGCAACACGACCGCAGCTCACGCGAGTGCCCGGCTGCTAAGCGAGCGCGCGCAGCCGCGGATAGAAGGCGAAGTCCCGGGGGCCAACACAGGAGCGCGCGACACGGAGCTGGGCACGCGGGGTCAGGACAGAGACGATCCACAGAGTGAACTAAGGGAGTTGAGGCACAGCACCTCCTACCCCTACGCCCTCCCCTTCTTCACTCCCAGGTTGTACCAGGCTGCAGCGTAAATGGGCGCTTACTCGCAAGGTTCTGGCGTGACAGGTAGCTGGGATCAAAACCCTTTGCTGCAGCTCTTTGGTTCTGTGGCTTATTTAATCTTCCTGTCTCCATGACCCCATTTGCAAAAGGAAGAGGAAAATGAAAACGGCTACCTAAAACTGCCATGAGGGTTAAGTGAAATGATGTACGTAAAGAGCTCACTACAGTGCCTGGGACTTGTAAGCAGAGCCTCTCTACATAATTTGCGAGGTCTGGTGCAAAATGAAAGTGCGGGGTCCCTTGTCCAAAATTGTTAAGAATGTCAAGACTGCAGTAGGAGAACCTTAAACCAAAAACATAGGGCTGACCCCGTTTGTGAGGACTCATTCAGTGCTAGCCGTTGTCATTCTATCCAGTTTCAAAAATGAATAGAAATTTGGCCATTTTGATGACCATGATCTTTCCAATCAGTAGTATTTGATAAAATATAGTTATTCTTTCTCAAATTAAACCCAAGATGGATTAAAAGCTTAGGCAAGCCACAATATTCTAGAAGACCAGAAAAAAAGATATAAGGGGGGAAAGCTTTATAATTGGAGGCAGGAAATGTTTACGATGAATCAAAATCAATGTCATTTTTAAAATTAAAAGAAATTTAAACATCTTTACAATATGAAATGCCAGCGACAAAGAACAAATGAGAAAATAGCTTTAAAATATTTACATATACATGGTAGACAAATAGTAAATCTTCATGATAAATACAGAACTTCCTAATCAATTAAAAAAGACTAATCCTAAACAGACAGACATAAAAATTACTAATGGCCAGTAAACACAAACGATAACTAACCTGGGGCTTGGGGGTCGACGGGATGGAGAGGACTCCTAGTGGGGAAAAGATGGGCGGTTTTTTTTGAGGGGGCGGCGTGTGCATGTTGAAAAAGTCTTAAAATTATATTGTAATGATGGTTATACAAGTCTGAGAATATACTAAAAACCACTGAACTGTGCACTTTAAATGAGTGAAGTGTTTGATATATGCAATGTTTCTCATAAAGCTATTAAACTGCGAAATGCAATAAGAGAAATGCAATGTTGAAATAGAATATTTTCATCTATTAAATACATCGATAAAAATTTACATGATTATTAACTCCCTGTTTTAGCAAGTTTTGTGAGAAAATTAGCACTTGTATTGATTAAACTGCATATATTTTTTAAAATAATGTTATTTTTAATTTAAAAAATCAAATAGATTTTTATTTCTGGAAGAAAAGATAAAACAAGACTTAGAACAAACATCCTGAACTCTGCTACTTCCTGGCTGTGTGACCTTGGTCAAGTCCCAGAGTCTCAGCTGCATAATGAGGATATTAACACTCTTCTCACTGGGTGGTTCCAAATGGTTAAATGAACTAACAGATCTAATATGCCTGACACAAAATTAGCAGTAAGTAAATGTAGCTGTTTTATTGTAGTTGCAGTCTTAATATTCACTTCTGAAAACCCAGATACCAACATAGTACAGGACAAACGGTCATTGCTCATTAAATGTTTGTTAAATGAATGAATTCAGCAGCCATTTAGAGTGTCAACGCTCAAATTCAACAACCCTATAAGAAATACCTTGTACACGTAGATCCAGCTCTTAAGCCAGACCAGAAATAACCTCTCGAAGCCTCCATTTTTTTTTCCCATGGACACATGAGATTAATAATATAACAGCACTAAATGAAACAATGTAGATAAAGCATTTAGCCACATGGACAAGGGCCCTGGGAAGTGCTGAGTAGCTATGATGGGAAAACATGTAAGTGGAGGAAATAGAACAGACATGAGAAAATTACAAAATTTCCAGAGTTTTACCAGACACTGTGCTCCATGATTTCATTCTGAGATTCATGACTAACTCCTTAGTTTTAAGCTTTAACTTTCATTACTGGAATGTAGAGATTCTAACATCAGTTTATTTACAGCCATGTGGTACCACTCCCTATTCAGGCCCGTCCCCAGTCAAATGCTGTAATCCCAACAGAATACTAATTACCCATCCCTGGTCTCCCAAAATAACCCTATAAGAGTATCACTTCTAGTCCTGGTCGGTGTGGTTCAGTTAGTTGAAGTGTTGTCCCGTACATTGGAAGGTCACTGTTTCAATTCCTGGTAGGGGCATAAGCCTGGGTTGCGTGTTCTATTGATGTTTCTCTCCCTCTTCCTCCCTCCCTTCTGCTCTCTCTAAAATCAATAAGCATGTCCTCCCCAAATACCTATGACATGGACATTACTAATCTCATTTTTTAAATGAGAAAACTGCCCTAGCCTGTGTAACTCAGTTGAGTTACTCAGTTGAGGGTTTGATTCCCTGCCAGGGAACAAATCGAGGTTGCAGGGTTTGATCCCTCCCCCGGCCACTTATGAGTGGCAACCAATTGATGCTTCTCTCTTGCATCGATGATGTTTCTCTCCCTTCCTCTCTCTCTAAAAGCAATGAAACAAAAAAATGTCCTTGTATGAGAACAGGGAAAAAAAGAGAGAGAGAAACCTGAGGTTTAGGAAAGTTAAGGAACAGAATTAGTATTTACCCAAAAATGTATCTAAGGCTATTTGCTGAGATTGAAATCATCCCTGAAACATGGAATCCTCACAATTTGTCTGGTCGAACCCATACCCATACAAACAAGACTGAAGATTAGGGTGGATGTGAGAAGGATGTTCTAACTCTAATCAGTAGAAACCCAATTCATCCCATTGTAATCTAATCAGAGAAAGACAGAGATCTCAAGACAGAAAAATGTAGTGAAGGTCATTCAAAAAAACTTTGGTTCAAGCCCTGGCTAGTGTGGCTCAGTGGACTGAGTGCTGGCCTGTGACCCAAAGGGTCGTTGGTTCGGTTCCCAGTCAGGGCACATGCCTAGGATGTCAGCCAAGTTCCCAGTTGGGGGCATGGAAAAGGTAACCACACATCAATGTTTCCCTCCCTCTCTCTCTCCCTTTCCCTCTCACTGAAAAATAAATAAAATCTCTTACAAGTTTGGTTGAGAATGTAAAATGTTACCACTTCCTTCACCACTTACTTCAGTAGTGGTTCTCAAATTATGGTCTCACTGTTGAGTCTACCAACCTGGCCATTATGTGACAACTGAAAACAAATACCAGAATGAATAAACACTGTTCAATTCCACACTCTTACATTCTCTCTTACAGCCAACTGCTATTGGTAATGTGGTAAACTGACTGTAAACATTCTCAAAGTCGAAATACTCCCAATTATCTGGAAAGATACTCTGTTACCAGTGTTTGTTTGAACTGCTCTTTCAACTGTGTTACACTTGTATTTTTGCATATTTATAGAATCTCTCTTGGGTGGCACTTTCCCTTATTGTTTTTGGGGCTTGGTAATGGTTACACTGTTAACATTTTCATTGTCATTTTGTTTCTTAGCAAATCTTAGTTATTAGAGTGTTTTTTCCATAGCAAGACAGGAGTGAGGGAGCATTTGGGGCTCCAGTATTGGTTACTAGGTAATTCTGACCACTCAGCCACTGAGGAAAATTGGTAAAACTAGAAAAACCATTCAAAAGTTAACAAATTAGTGAAGAATTACTGAGCCAAAATCTGGGAAAGGAGAGAAATTGAGAAATTTTTGCCCCCCACTTAAGACTTCTTTTCCAGGTGGGGTACTTCCTGAGCCATAGTGCACCCTGGGCAAATGGCTCCTCATCTCATGCACCAAAAAGGTTACAGGTTCCATCCCAGCCAGGGCACATACTCAGTCCCAGTCAAGGTGCATACAGAAGGCAACCAAATGATACATACTCTCCGACCCCCACTACCTGCCACCGGCTGCACCTCCCTCCTTCCCTTCCTCTCTCTCTAGAATCAGTAAAACATATCGTCCTGGCTGGTGCAGCTTCAGTGGATTGAGTGCTGGACTGGCAACCAAAGGCTGAGTCTCCCAGTTAAGGGAACACAAGAGGGCCACACATTGATATTTCTCTCCCTCTCTTTCTGCCTCCCTTCCCCTCTCTCTCTGAAAATAAACAAATATTTTAAAAAATAAAACATAGCTTTGGGTGAGGCTGAAACAAATGAAAAATTGTTCAGCCCTGGCCACGTGGTTGTGTGTCGTCTCCGCAAACCAAAAGGTGGCTGGTTCAGTTGCTGATCAGTCAGGGTGTGTGCCTAGGTTGCAGGTTTGGTCCCTGGTCAGGATGCCTAAGAGAGGCAACGCATTGATATTTCCTTCTCACATCAATGTTTCTCTCCCTCTCTTCCTCACTCCCTCTCCTTTTCTCCAAAAAATAAATTTAAATATTTGTTTTAAAAAAGGTTATTCAAAACTCAGTTTCAAACTACCTCAAAGCCTTAAAGTGTATTAAGGTGACCTCAGAATGTTATGCCCCCAGGTACACAGCAAAAAAACAAAGTGAGTCTTCTCTGGTTAATGGTATCATCATCCTAGGCTTCAAATTATTACTGTGAACAATTATTCAAATACAATATTCAGTCCACAAGCAAAAATAATCACACACATTAGAAGACAAAATAACATGGACAAAAACCTACAGCAACAAAAGGTAGGTGTCCTGCCCGAGAATCAAATTGGTGACTTTTTGGTTTGCAGGGTGATGCCCAATCTACTGAGCCACACTAGTCAGGGTTCTGTAATTTTTTTTAAAAGTTCTGCAAGATCGTGTCATTGACCATCGGCATTCCACAAAGTGTAAGAACAAAGAAATCTTTTGCAGTTTTAACTCATTATTATTTCCTTATTATTAATTTTATTATTATTATTTTCTTCTTATTCCCTTAACTTTTATAGGAACCGCATGGTTCTCCTTTAGTTTTCATTTGGGCTTGCTCTGTAATTTGTTCTAACTTCTTAAGTTGGATGCTTGGCCTGTTCATTTTGAACAATTTTATCTCCTTAAAAATATTAAAAATAAAGTATATTTAAAAGGATATATTTTCATCTAAATACTGTTTTTGCTTTACCCCACAAATGTTGACATGTAGTGTTTTCCTTATTATTCATTTATAAGTATTTCCTTTACACTTTTATTAATGCAGTGGTTACTTAAAATGTAATTTAGTTTCAAAGTGTACAGGATTTATCATTTTCAACAATAACAAACAACGTTTTTAATTTCTTACCTCATGGTTGAGAAGCATGGTCTATATGATTTTGATATTTGGGAATTTGTTGAGGCTTTTTATAGTATTATGCATGTCCTGTTTTTGAAAATATACTATACTTGTTTAAAAAGTCTATGTTGTTTGGGAATAGACTTCAACATACAGCCAGTATATTTAGCTCATTAATTGTCTTGTATATTTCTACTTATTTTTTGTTTCCTTGATCTGTGTATTTTGAAATAAGTTATGTTTAGAATCTCCAATTTTGCCCTAACTGGGGTGGCTCAGTAGATTGGGCGTCATCTTGCAAACCAAAAAGTCACCAGTTCAATTCCCAGGCAGGACACATACCTGGGTTGTGGGCCAGGTCCCCAGCTGGGGACATGCAAGAGGTAGCCAATTGATGTTTCTTTCACACATTGATGTTTTTCTCTTCTCTTTCTCCCTCTCTTCCCCTCTCTCTAAAAATAAATAAATAATTTTAAAAATTATGGAAAATCACCAGACAAAACTACCTTTTCATGATCAAATATGCAGATAAATACTGCTATTCAGTGGACACAGTGACTCTACTTGTGACATGGAAGGAATATTTCCTAGAATGCATTACAATATTGTGAGGGAAAAAATGAAAAATTACACAAGTATTTGTCTTTTAAAGTGAATGTAATAATGTATGGGAATGACAATATTTAGAAATGTTTTAGGGATCTATTTGCTAATACCTAGGCTTTTATAGTCTATTCAGATGATAAAATTAAAGCGGATTATTTCTCCATGTGATCACACATTTGAATGAGACATTTCTCCAACATTAACCTTATCAATGGCCTCCCACTGCTTTTTTGTGGTTATCAATCTGAAAGAATATAACTGATATCACCATCAAAATGTGGCTACCATTTGCAGAGTATCTAATTACTGTTATCACGGTAGTCACTGCAGGGACAAAGTTGCTACCATGGAAGTGGATGAAACTTCCTTCTTTTAGTTTGACTGAGCACCCAGCATCATTTGACTGGTGCATCCCTGACTACTTCCTATAGGTAGCTCCTGGAAAAACCTCACTTTGAATCAGATTATATCCAGAGTGTGTAATGTGTTATTCTTCTGAAGAATAATAATCTGCATGTAACAAAATTGAACATATGTGGGAGTTAAAATTTATCATGGACCAAAACTTCCCATAACTATGATAATTACTTAGCAAAACCTGAGGCTAAAATTCAACACACCATGTCTGAGAGATATCACTTCCACAGTCCATTTGCCTGATTATTTATTTGAGTTAACCCTTTTATTCTGGATTGTTTAAAAGGAAAGGTTAAATAACTCATTTTTTTTGCATTTATTTCTAAATTTTAATTGAATTATTAAACTGGCAGGATTAGAAGAACATTTTAAAATAAATTTAAGGGAAACACAATCTAACTTCCACTTTTGTTTTATTTTAGTGGAACATATGAATAACCTAACTGGAGAGCTAAAAGATTCTTCTTGGAGCTATGTTGTCAAAACATTTAGCGTGAGTTCCCTATTTAGGATAAAATGATGTAATGTCTGGGATCTGATTCAAAATAATCTAGGGTGGGGGATGTATAAGAGGGTATAAATGAAACAAAATAGTACAGGAATAGATAATTGTTGAAGTTGAGAGACAAGTATATGGTAGTTCTATATTATTGAATACTATAGTAAGAATAAAAGACCAGGAACAGTCAAGGTTCTAAAAATCTTTTTAATGCAGAAATTTCAAATATATATTATAATTTTAAAAGTAAAATTTGTGGCTATTTTTGGTTTTCTCTTTTTACATATATTTTTCAGAATCAACTTGTCAATCCAGTACAGTCTGATTTTGATTAAAAATCTATCGAATCTTCCCTGGCTGGTGTGGCTGAGTGCCAGGCTGCCAACTGAAAGGTCGCTGGTTCTATTCCCAGTCAGGGCACGTGCCTGGGTTGTGGGCCAAGTCCTCAGTTGGGGATGTGCAAGAGGCAACTGACTGATGTTTCTCCTGCACATTGATGTTTCTCTTCCCCTCTTTCTCTCTCCATTCCCCTCTCTCTGAAAACAAATAAATAAAACCTTTTTTTAAAAAAAGAAACACTCTTATATGAAGGTGGATTTAACAACTTCTCCATATAGTTGTATTTTTGGTTTTGTTTATGCTATTTTATTAGGAACATATATGTTTAGGATTTTTACATCTTCTTGGTAAACTGAAACACCACTATATGGTGATCTCTCTTTTTTTTTTTTATCCCTGATGATGTTTTTATCTTAAAGTCTATTTTTCTTCTGATATAAATTTATCTATACAAGATTACTCTATAACCAGATTAACTTTTGGTTAATCTGATGTCGCCATGAAAATGAGGCTACCAGAACAATGCTCCAACCAACTGAACTACTCAGCCAGGGCCTCTCTCTCTTTTTGGAAAGGTCTTTTTTTTTATTTAAGTCCAATCTGGCAGACCCTAACTTTTAACTGATGAGTTTTGTCCTTTTAAATTTATTGCAATTATTAATATATTTAGACATTTCTACCTATATTATTAAATAAATGTTTTATTTAATTTAACCTGTTTTTTCTTTGTTTTCCCTTCTTTCTTTTTAAATCTGACATCTATATTGTTCCTCTAATAAGATGAGAACTTTCAGCCCTGGCCCATTAGCTCAGTTGGTAGAGCGTTGTCCCAATATGTCAAAGTTATGGGTTCAATCCCTGGTGAGGGCACATACAAGAATCAATCAATGAATGTATAAATAGGTGGAACAACAAATCACTATTTCTCTTTCTCTGTCTCTCTCACTCCCTTCCTCTCCCTAAAATCAATTTTTAAAATTTTTTTAAAAAGATGGAACTGTAACATACTTTTATGTTTCTTGGCACCTCTTCACTCATCATAAGATATTGTCTGAGGGGGAAGGCAAAGACAAATGTATTTGAAAAAATAAATTAAAAAAATAAGATATTGTCTGAAACTTTAATTCTGGGTTGTTATGAAAATAATTTTTTCTTTTTTGGGGAAAAAAAGGTATTTGGTTTTTGTTTTGTTTTGTTGTTTTAAGACTACAGCAAACATTTCCAAAAGTTTTGATAACTTCACTTATCTCTTACAGCATCTCTCTAATTTGTTTTTCTTCTTGAATTCTCCCCAAGAACATTTTCTATGTGAGTCTTTTTTGTGGCAATAGTTTGCACGCCTGAGACTATTTTTATTATTCCATGTTCACATTTGAATTATTATTTGAGTAGTTCAAAATTATGTTCCTTTAACCCCTTAAAAGATTTATTCTATTGTCACTTTGTATCTATTTTATCTACCATAATATATTTAGCACAATACTATTGTAGTGTTATGGTTGAAAAGTACAATTTCAATCCTATTTATCCCTTTGTAAATTCTCTGGGGTTTTTTTCTGATTTCCTCATTTGGAATAATATTCTTAAATTTTACTAAAATTTATTTAAGATTTTTAAAGTTTCTTTTTGACACTTCACAAGCCCTTTCCATCTGATGTCTTTCATTTTATTTAATGTTGAAAAGTCCTTTCTTTAAAAATATTTTTTCTTTAATATTCCTGAATTACAAATGTTGGCACTTCTGCTTCTTTCCTCCATGTTTTATAATATCTCTTTTTCCATTTTCCTTTACTCTATCCTTTCTTCCTTCCTTTTTGGAGTCTTCCTCAAATCTGATCTTAAATCTCAATCACTCACCCTTCAGCTATATCCATCAACCACTTACGTCATTTATAATGTCCTTTACTTCATCTATCATGTATTTTTCCTTGGCCAGTATTTTCACTTGGTTCTATTTTATTACTGTTATTTCTTGTTTATTTTTCATATTGTTAAGACTTTTCTTGTCTCTTTAGTATATTTACTTTTTTATGTTAAATCTTTGTGCCCTTTGTTTTTAAGACCTCTGCTTCTGATAATATGGACAGTCTGGCTTGTCATTTGTTGTTTGTTTTTTCTTTTGAGGTAGTTACATTCATAGGATATCTTCTTAATTTGCCCTATCAGCTCATATTCTCCTGGAGTTTTTGACTCTGCTTCCTGGAAGTGCTTCCTGAGAAAGGGAGAAGGGTGAAAGGTTCGCTCCACACTCAGTCAGTCCCATTAAACATCACAAAGCCTGTTTGGCTTTCCCTTCAAACCTCTGAGAAACAAACTGCAACTGCATATGGGAGGTCAAATGGGTGGGAATGGAGGAGTCAATGCTCAAGGCTGCTCAGACACTGTCTGTTTCCCACCATCTTTTTCTTTTTCTTTTCCCCACTATCTTCATTTGACCCACTGTCACAGGCCTGGGCCATGAATCCAGATTTCTGTAGCACGTGGCCGGGGAACAATGGAACCGAGGTGGTGCTGGAGGGGAGACAAGAACAGAACTTAAACTGCCTTTTACTAATTCATCCTTTCATAGCCCTGCAGGCTACCCTCTCTCTCAGGCTGCATGTGTGTGTGTATACAAACCAATTAAAAATAGTCTTCCCGGGGGGCTACTTACTGCCCTTTTGGTTCCTTTCCTTCTGGATCTGTTTCAGTTGAAGTTTCTTAGTGAGGGGGACGGCACTTGGGGAGGAAGCAACAGCCCAGACCATTTTGCTATTTTAGTAGAAAGTGGAAGCACATGTATAATCTTGATTCCAATCTGCGGGAAAGGTAAGTTCTTCAAAAAATTAAACACAGCATACCACGTGACCATCGATTCCTCTCCTAGGAACATACCCAATAGAGCTGAAAACATATGTCCACATAAAAACTCACACACAAATGTTCATAGTGATATTATTAATAGCCACAGAGTGGAAAAAACCCAAGTGCTCATCATGTGATGACTGAATGAACAAAATGCGTCATATCCATACAATGGAATATGATTCAACCATAAAATGAATGCAGATACAATGTAGATGACCTTGAAAACACTGTGTTAGATAAAAGAAGCCACAGAAAGTCAAATATTATAGGATTCCATTTATATGAATTGTTTACTAGGCAAATCCATAAAAAGAGAAAGCAGGTGAGAAGTTACCAGGGGATGGAAAAAAAGAATAGGGAATAACTGTTAATGAGTTCAAGGGTTCTCTCTGAGCTGGTAAAAAACTAGAATTAGATAGATAGTGGTAATGGCTGCACAGATTTGTGACTATACTAAAACACACTGAAATGTATACTTTACAAGGTTGAATATTATAGTATGTGAATTATATCTCAACTTGTAAAAAGTTTAACGTAATCTAATAAAGGAAGAGGAAAAGCTATTTTCATTTGTAAATGAAAACACAAATGCATAAATAAAATATTAGGTAACCAAATCAAAGTCAAATAATATAATGTAGTAATTAAGAGTATGAGGCCCTCGTCAGTGTGGCTCACTTGGTTGGAACATTGTCCCATATCAGAAAGCTTGCAGGTTCAATCCCCGGTCAAGGCACCTACAGTAGACAACTACTCAATGCTTCCCTCTTGCATTGATGTTTCTCTCTCTCCCTTTCTTCTCTTTTTCTCTCTCTCTAAAAGTCATGAAAAAAATGTTCTCAGGTGCAGATTAAAAAAAAAAGTGGGGACATTTGAGATCTTACTACCAGGAATCGTTGTCAGTTTGATTCAAATAAACTCATAAAAATTCTCTAAAACAACAAACAACAACAACAAAATGAGTGTGGACTCTGAAACCAGGCTGCCTGTTACATCCTATGTTCCATCACTTCCTGAGTGACATTGAGCAAATCATCTAACCTCCATATGCCTCAGTTTCTCCATAGGAAAAATGGGTATAATAACAGTACCCATCTCATAGGGTTGTTGCGATGATTAAATGTAATAATATTATAAAGTACTTAGAACTTTATGTGATTGATACATAGTAAGTGTTAATATATTAATGATGAAATAGATTATCTCAACAGATGTTGGGGGGGAGTAGTTTATAAAGTTTGCCTTATTATTCTAATACTTTTTAAACTCAGCAAAGTAAGAATAGAAGGGACTATCCTTAACTTGGTCAAGATTTTATACCAAAAATCAACAGCAAATATTCCACTTAATTGAGGCTTTTTAGTGTGTTCCTTTTAGAATGGGAACAAAACTAGGATGTCCGGTCACTGCTATTGTTTACCACATTACTGGAGGTCTGGCCAAGCCTATTAAGAAAGAAAAAAGACTTAAGAGGGGTGAAGATTCAAAGCAAAGAGATGAAATTACCACTACTTGCATATGACATAATCATCTGTCTAAAAAAGCCAACAGAATCATCAGGAAAAACTATTAGAATTTATTAAAGAGCTCTGCAAGGTTGCTGAGTATTAGCCTATCAATATCAATGTAATTTCTCTCTACCAGCAATAACTGACTAGAAAGAATAATTTTAAAAAATAAGAAACATGCCCTGACTGGTGTGGCTCAGTGGATTCGGCATTGTCCTGTGGATCAAAAGGTCATCAGTTCGGTTCTCGGGCAGGGCACATGCCTGGGTTTCAGGCCAGATCCCACATGCAAGAGGATGTTTCTCTGCCTCTTTTTCTCCCTCCCTTCCTCTCTCTCTAAAAGTAAATAAATAAAATCTTTTCAAATTAATAAATAAAATCTTTTTTTAAAAAAACACACAAACTCTTTTGATAACATTAAAGTAGAGTATTTCTATTCAAAGATGATATAGACAAAGTTAAAAGGCAGAAGACAGAGTGTAAGAAAATATTTGTGATGACTGAGAATGACTAAAACTGACAATGACTAAAAAAACAAGAAATGCCTGCCAATCAACATTGGCAAAGGATATATGAGCAGGCAAGTTACAGAAAAGGAAAAGCAAAAGGCTCACAAGCATATGAAGAGATGTTCAGGCTTATTAGTCATCTGAAAAATGCAAATTAGAGCCATGGTGAGATACCACCTCATACTATTACAGTAGCAAATAGTAAAAAGCCAAATAATCTGAATGTTGTCAAAGAGAGAGGCATATAGGATTGCTCGGGCACTGCAGCCATTTTAGGGATTAATATATCTGAATTTGACCAGATTAGGATTAAGACGATCCCACGATGCAGCAATTTACCTCTATTTTATATTCCAAAGAAATGTTTACCAGGGTCTGCACATCGTACAAGGATGCTTATCATGGCCTTGTGTGTGGCCACAGACACCATTAGCTACCAGGTGTCCAGTCCTGGGGATGTGAGAAGATGAAACGCGGTGGATGCCGTCCGTGGAGGGCTGTGCCTCCATACACACAGCACCATGAATGGATCTTCATTCATTTTTTTATTGAATTTATTGGCCTTACATTGGTCAATAAAATTATATAGGTTTCAAGTGTACAATTCTGCACTGCATCATCTGCATGTTTCATCGTGCTCACCCTCCAAATCTAGTTTCCTTCCGCCACCATTTAACCCTCTTTTACCCTCCTCCACTTGCCCCACCCCCCTTCCCTCGGGTAATCATCACACTGTTTCATCTCAGTGAGCTTTGTTTTTGTTTTTCCGCTTACTCCCTTCGCCTATTTCACCCAGCCAGCCAGCCCCGCTCCCCTCTGACTGCTGTCAATCTGTTCTCTGTATGAGCGGATCTTTAAAATATATTGTTATGGGGAACAAATTTTAAAGATTTTCTTTCTTTCTTTATTTATTTTTTAGATAGAGGGGAAGGGAGGGCAAAGGAGAAGGAGAGAAACATCGATGTGTGAGAGATACATGGATCGGTCGCCTCTCACACGCCCCCAGCTGGGGACTGGTCTGCAACCCAGGCATGTGCCCTGACTGAGAATCGAACAGGCAAACTTTCTGTTCGCAGGCCGGTACTCAATCCACTGAGTCACACCAGCCAGGGCTGTTATGGAAAAAATTTAAAGTGAGAAACACAGTCCTATTTTCAGAAATTAAACTCAAACACACAAAAATATTATTATTAAAATATTGTTTGAATTTACAATATATGTAATTATAATTCCAAGGATATATATGAAATGATTGTCCTTAAAGGGAAGGGAGAGAAGAGGATGGAACTGGGGGAAAGAGAGATGCCATTCAGGCCGCAGTGGGGAGACTGCATCAGAAAGCAGCCAGAATGAAAACAAAGAAGTGAGAAGTGTGACGCGAAAATCTGCAAGGCAAGAGCTCTGCTGCCAAGGGTGTGTTTGGATCTTTTCCAAGTTGTCCCAATAAGCAAGTGAAACTTTTGACTCTGTCTGGGCCTTTAGGTAGAACGACCATATATATGCCTGTTTGCTGGGGAGAAGTCTTGGTTTATACTCAACACGTCCCAGAAAACAGCATATGATAAATGTGTATGGTCACTATACCTTTGGGATGCGTCAGTGAATAAAAAAAGAGTTTTGTCCCCAAGGGAGCTTACATTCTAGTATGGAGAGAAAAACATTATGTAGTAAATATAGTAAGTTATGTAGTACATTAGAGAATACTAGTGCTCAAGATAAAGGAAAAACCAAACACAGATTAAGGTAAGAGGACTCAAGTGTGTTGGGCTGGGGGAGGGCAGCGCAGATTCCAGTGTTTAAAGAGGGTGGTCAGGGCAGGTCGGCCTCCTCCAGAAGACGACATGTGAACAAACACTGGAGGGAGTTCGCCAGGCTGACACCTGGGGGAAGAGTAGTCCAGAAAATAGGGACAGCTCTTGCAAAGGCCCTGGGGTGGGAGGCTAGAAAGAGCAAAACAGAGAAGAAAGAATAGGAGAGGAGGTCAGATCTCTAGGACTGGGCTGACCGTGTAGGGCCTCAGGAGTCACCGTGAAGGCTGAGGTGAGGAGCCATTGCAGGATATTGAGCAGGGTCTCCACACAATGTGACCCATATTTCTAAAAAAAAACAAAAAAAACAAAAACAAAAACAACACTCTGGCTCTTGTGTCAGGAATAGCCACAGTGGGGCAAGTGTAGAAGCGTAGACACCTCCTTGGAGGCTGTTTACAGCAAACCTGAAAAAGACATGGTTGGGGCTCAGACAAAAGTGTGAGCGGTCGTCTGTGGAGGTGGTAAGAGGCTGGAGTCTGGATTTTCTTTTAAAGGTAGAGTTAATAGGATTTACTAAATAAAGGAATGAGGTGGGGGGCATGGAGGAGTGAAAGAAATAAAAGAAGATAGAGTACTAAGGTGGTGGTCATGGGGACGAGACAGGCCTCTGGATTTAGGCAATAAAGAGTAAGGAAGGGCATGCCTTATCTGTAGAGAATTTTTAAGTCATAATAAAGTGGACTAAGATATTAGTCTGCTGACTATTATCATCATGCACCAACAATTTTAAACAACGTCTAAAAAGTTATAAAATACTCCCTCCCCACTGTCCGTCCCACGCTCCACACCCAGCCTCGGTCTGCCACTAAGATCAGGGGTCCCCAGCTTCCAGGCCACGGACTGGTGTCGGTCCAGGTCTGTTCGGAACGGGGCCGCACAGCACGGGGGGAGCTTGAATATAATGCACTTGAATCATCCCCAAATCATGCCCCCGCCCTGGGCCGTGGAAGAATGGTCTCCCACGAAGCTGATCCCTGGTGCCAAAAAGGTTGAGGACCACTGACTTCGATGACTTGAGGATTCTGAGGCCTGAGTACTGGAAAGCTCTTCTCATTTTGGTGCGGAAGTTTATGGAACGAGGAAGGTGAGGGGGTTGGGGAGGGAGAGATTAGGAGTTCTGTG